GTGACTATAACTAAGTTTATAACTTTGTTCTTCACAGTTAAGTGCAAAATAGAAACTAATCATGCAAGAAAGGCGCCGTAATTTAATCACCCGTAGACCTCTTATATTAGATCGGTTTGACGAAAAACAACATTTTTCTCAATAACTCAAAAGCTATGTATCCTAGCAGCATGAGCTCAAGGTGGCCATTGTTACGAAGGAAAACAAACATAGTGAGTGCATAAAGCAGTAGATACCAGCAGCGGTTCAGCCGGGAGGGCTGGTGGTCCGTCTTGCCCCGCTGGGCCGTCTTACCCCACCTTCCCCTACGCACATACGATTTTCTTCTTTGGGATAAACGTCCATTTTGATCATATGCGCGTTATTTTAGTGAGATACGCTTCTCTTCCTTGGTTCCTGCTGCTCCCATTTTGCATATACGCTTTTTGTGTACCTAATTATAAACCCAAAATTTGGGAAAATGTAGATTTTATTTTTTTTCTTTAGGTATGTATGAGATAGAGCCTAAAATTATGCATCTAATGATATAAAAAAATAAAATTCAGGAAAATGCGAGATACGCTTCTTCTGGACTTTGGATGGCAGAATTGAAAACTTGCTCAAAATTGTACAGGTACGTAAAACGATTATGCAACTTTGCCTCAGATGTTGTGTGCCACTGACAGCTGAGGCGTCTGAGAGCAGGTCAACACTCGTTAATGTCACAACAATTAAAGGTTCACGGTGACAAAAGAGAAAACAAGCAAATTGTGACGATTAGCGTTTCTTTCTACGTAAAAACGATAACGACTCGCCGCCGGGTCCGGAAGACGGACTGCGTCTAGCACAATTGCCGTCACGCATAACTCTCTAAAGTCTAAAGGCAACTCCCCTGCTGATGATCGCAAACCTGTGCAAACATCAGAATGGTTACTGCACTCGACGCGGCTCTCAGTCTCTGTACCCCAGTACGTCGCGCACGTTGGTCTTGGCGCTATTCTGCAGATCCGTCCAGAACTGCCTTTTGTGGCTGGGTATCAGTCTCAGCAGGTTTTCGCACAGTGCGTCGATTTTCTCCTTGTTGACGCCCCTGGGCTTCGTGCGCATCTTGATGGGTCGACTGATATCGGCTGACGCCTTCACCAGGCTGTACGCGCGCCAGCTGGTTTGGTCCAACGTCGCCTTCGTGTAGAGCTTCTCTGACCCCTTGCGGAGCTGGATGACCTTGAAGTCTCGGAGGTATGTACGGCCTGGAGCTGACGCCCTGCAGTAGCCGAATCTTGCTGTCACTGAATGTATTCTCAGCATCGATGAAGTCCTCAGCCTTCATGCAGTGTACTCGAAGGCCGCTGCTGGCCACGATTTCGGTCCAGTCAACGAAGTCGGCGACGGTTCTCTTTCCTTTCATCGCTTTATTGATCACTTGGTGGTCAGCGTCAGCGCTCATAGACGTGTGGCCCTTGACGAGGTACTTCACTGTTATCTTTTCGACGGCCAGATCTGTTGCCTGCACCGCCTGAAGAAGGACCACCAACACAAGCCAGCATTTGTTCTGTGACGCACAGTTGTCGCAGAAGATCGTGAAGTGCCTTACATCACGGTTAGCCTTCAGTAAGGCTAGATAGCAGCTTGCGACGTCACCAGCGTTTCGTTCCGCAATCCCTTCATGACAGAGTACTGCGAGTCCTCGCCTTTTCTGGTCACGTGTGCGCTTGGCTTTGTTGTTAGGCTGCAAGACACTGAATGTCTCGTTTTATGCCACCAGCCGTCTCGTGAACAAGCTTGCCTTGTGTGGGAGGACTGGCAGCATACTAACCCGCATCATATCGTTGTAACTCTGAATCCCAGGTCAGTATCTCATGTTGTGTTCTTTAGTACATACACGTCACTCAACATGCATCTCTCAGCGGGGGTCTCGAGACACGTGAGAAAGTAACCCTCACTGGAACCCGCGCTATGCCGGCGCTCTCGTATTTCTCAGTGACGCCCGTTCTACCGCCACCGTCTGGCTCAGAGTTTGTGAGACGGGCTGACCGACAGAGCAGATTGAAGATGTGCCTTTTCCACGGCAGTACGCTTTGACCTTTTTTGCATTAGACGCATTATCATTGACTTGTAGCTTGACTGCGTCGGTCCGCTTATAACACGCTTTTCACATTTACATTGGAGTAAACGAGTGAGACGCTTACCTGAAGCCAAGCAGGAGCAATCCTTCCGATGAGAAACATGAACCAGAGGCCGATTTTTTTTAAAGTTGGTGATAAATTATTGTCATCGTTAGTGACAGACATTGTCAGTAACGATGGTCCATGACCGCATCCGATGAGTTGATGTTGGGAATTTCAAATTCATCCCCTGAACTTTCCGGAACATTTAAAAGTGCCCTTTGGTACGTCAGTCGAGCTTGTTTGGAGGGTTTGGTCAGAGTTTTCGACTCGTCTTTTGTAGCACGCTTCTTTTTGGCCGAAAAAAACCTTGCTTGTTTGGGAGCATTTTTGTTCGCTGGCTCTCGGCTGTCGTCGGAACCAACAAACGGATCGCTGCCGCTGGGCACAGATAGCAATATTTTAAGCTTTCTCACAATGTCTCGTGCTGTGTCATGTCAATCGCGTCAATTGACGAGCAATCATGCACTTTTGGAATTACTCCTAACAGTTTCTCGTGGAGTGGCTTTTTCCTACCCTCTAAAGACTCTTCGGCATGCTCCCCAGCGGAACCACCCTGACACATGTTGCTCATATGGAGAGACATATCTGCCTCCACATCAGCTGCTGGCTGGGAGGGGTTTGCTTTTGTTGTTGAAATTGCTACAGCATGGATATGTTTGCAAATGTTGCGTGCCGTTGCGAAGTCCTCGCACTCACAGGAGAACGAGTGTCGGCAAACCCTGCATCCCTCCGCGGGGCACCTCTCCCTGCAGTGACTACAGTTTCGCCCCCGTAAAACCGAGTACACTGAGAGAAAAAGTTACCAGGGGTGGCTAGTTTTACCCTAGTGTCAAAAATTACTAGGCCAAAACTAACCACCCCTCGTTATATTTACTAGGTCTTCTACCAGGGGTTTTACTAGTGACCTAGTTACCATTACCAGACCCATAACCAGCCTTCTTACCAGCACTGAAAAAAATATTGACTAACTACGACCTAATAAACGAAGTCATGTCAAGGGAAAACTTTGCGTTCCAAAATCTTTGTCATTTAACCAACCCGCAACCAGCGAGCATCCAGTAACCAAGTGACAACAAAGCGTATACTAGTGCTAAGCACTACAGGAACCGGAAGGGAAACAACTGGAAAACAATAAAATAACCAATGCTTTACATACACTTCGCAATGCCACCAACGGTACAACTAACAGTTGCGCATTCTCCAACTAACCCACTAGCATGTCTGTGCAAGGTTTATACTTATGCTGTACCATATCTGTACCAAGTCAATACAGTGAGCTTACCAACCCAAATACCAGGCATTCACTAACCTGGTACTAACCCCCTTCCCTCACCCCCCCCCCCCCACCCATAGGTACGGTATTCCGTTGCGCCTCTCAACCAAAGCGTTAAAAAGATAGAGTTTGATTTCCAGGTCATTTATTTAAAAAGACGCTATATAACATTTCAGAGCGTAAACAACCTAGATGTGCTCAATGACTTCACTTCAGAAACGCGGTCTCTGGACTAGCTGCAAACAAAGCCACGCCGGCCTACCCGCGCACTTTGCCGGGCCGCCACACCGCACAGTGTGGCCGAAGACCAGTTTAGCGCGAATTTAATCCCAGCGCCGCTCGGATCCACTGAAAATGGTTCTCTGGTTCCAAAACTGACGTTTACCCCTCACCGGACCTATTGGTTTTCAAAATACCCCCCCTTCGCCGGCCGAAGGGGGGGGGGTACGACCCCCGTCGCTGTTTCGCCCCTGATGAAGCTAGAGCCTCGCGGGAAAAAAAAACGAGCGTGTGTGCCGTTACGAGACGCAGCAACTGGTATCCGATTTTAAGATCTCAAGTTAACCTGTGACCTCCGAGTTCAGGTCAAGTGGCCCAAGGCACGGATTCGTTTTTTATTAATAACTTCGCGAAAAAATGCCGCAGAGTCGCAATTTTGGCATCATCGTGTTCGCCTCGCTCAGGTGCGTCGAATGGTATACTTTTTGTTCGGCTGAAGTCAACTTAAGGTGTTGACCTCGGGTCAAGGTCAGGTTAGAGCCCCCCAGATCACGAAGTTGGTCGAAGGAGGTCATGTTGCATATCATTCGATTCGGCAGGTCTTCCTGAGTCCATTGGTGGCTTTCCCGACTCGCTAGCTCAATTTAATCAGGAGTTATTGACGAAAAACTCTTATTATCCTAGTGACGTCATAAATGACGTCACGTAAGGCCAATAATGCAAAAGTGAAGCATCGAACCTTGCAGGGAGTGCATGAAATCACGATTCCGTGTGCTTGAGATAGTTAATTAGGCTGGAGCCTGTTCGGCCGCGCCGCCCCCCACCTTGGTCAGGTCACGCCGGGCGGCCGACTAGACATGTTCAAAGCTGAATTGACGGCAAATAGGCAAAAAGTGGCAGCTGAAACTTGCTCGCTTATGTTCAGAAATGTGCGGAGAGTTCAGCCATGCCCTATTCGTCATATCCATTTTTATCCATTTTGACATTTTCCAACTTCTTTATGAAATACTATTGTGAGAACGATACACATGCAGGGCTCCTGTTCTAACTCATTAAACTCAGAAACCATTCATTGAAAAGCTACCATGATAGCAGAAACAGCTTCATCATGAATTGTGCTATCCGGTGATATGCTATTTTCTCATATATCTTCTCGAAGCTTCCGTAAAATTTACATTGAAAACTGGACATATTTCTCAGTACCATAGCCCGATTTCAGGAACCGGAGCGTGGGTCTACATTCGGCAGGGATATAAGTCCTCAAATGATAAAGTGGCTTAAAAATAAGGTTCTATCCGATAACTTCGGACAATTTCCTACCCATTGATAGGTATAAATAACAGTTTATCGAAAGTCGGGTTTTTGATTAAATTCGCGCTAATCTGGTATTCGGCAAGACCGTGCACCGGTGTGGCGGCCCGGCGCCACCACACACGGCCACACCGGCCGGCGCCACCCTCCTCTACATGTGCTTCATCACTTCATCATGGAAGCGCTGGCTCACTCTGTCTTTGGGCGCCTCGTCTTCGACGCCCAAGACATGATACGAGAGATAGCGCCCGGTGGACCGAGAGCCCGTGGGGTATTTGAGCGAGAAGACGAAGAGGGCCACGGCCCATACGAGGAGAGCGTCCCTCTCTCCCACTTCCGCCACCTCTACTCCATCGACGAAGACAGTGCCGCCGGCCACCACAGCACCAGGACCCTCGCCATCGTTGCGATAGACATCCAGGGCGTCGCCCAGTGCCCAGGCGATGGCCTTCGGGACGCGATCTGAAAAGAAACATGCATTTAACATATTTAGGGAAAACTGCAAATGGAAAGGGCACTTGGGAAGGCCGGGGCGGGCATGGAATTGGTATGGGACGGGGAGTGATGGAGTGCCCCATGTCCAAACACGTAGCCAGGATTTTGCTCGGGGGGGGGGGGGCACCAGGGGCCACTAGCCAGGGTACCCCCTCTAAAAAGAAAAACTTCGGATTGGGCTCACTATTTTTGGGGGTGTAGCGCAGCTATTTAAATTTTTATTTTTCCTTCTCGGGGGGGGGGGGGGGGGGACATGGCCCCGTGACCCATTTGGCTACGTCCTTGGCCCTGTCATCAACTCTACCGACAAGTGTATAAATGTGAACCTTCACAACAAGGCAAGGAGGGAGTAGTACAAACAGTGGGGATGTCGGCAAATCCAACTCACCGATGTCGGAACAGCCAAGCACCTCTTGTGCTGCCGTCAGATAACGTGCCCACAGGAGTTCACTTTCCCGCCGCAGACTGCGGCCGGCCATACGTTCTAGCTCCCTCCAGAGCTGAAACACCGGAGTCAGTACTCAGTAACCCTATTGGAAAGAGGCAGGTAAAACGGGGCTATCGAAAACGCAGTCAAATCTTTGGCTGGGCTTATACTTTCCCGCAATAACACTTTACACATGGCGATCGGTCGATACTGGGCGGCGCTGACTCAACTATCGCGATACTAACAATGGTTTTACGCTATATCCATGCATTAACTTCGTCAACTAAAAATCATTGAACAACGACCAATGCTATTTATTGTAAGCCAGTTCAATGTACCTGGTAAACGCTGAAGAGCGCACCGTAGCGCTCCTTGATAATCGCCACTGACACCTTTTCCCTAACTATCAGGTGTCTGCGGTCGGCGAAGGTGTCTTGCATCAGGCCATCGATGGCCTCCTGGCCATTGACTGTCTGCAGCTGCTCCACCGCCCGCTGCACTTCTAGGCGCTGACTGTCTTCAAAAGCGGGGGCGTACTGCGGCAGCCCCATCCCGTACCGCACCGGCTTGCGGACGCCCAGATTTGAGGCAGAGGAGTCCAGTCTCCGCCGCTTGTTGCGGAACTTTGTGGCCAACTTTTCAGCGATTAGTTCCTGTAGGCAAGACCACACAGTTGTTCTCTATTTGTATACTATTCAGCCTCAAAGTGAAATGAAGAGCTGTGCTCATGAATTACGAGGTAGGCAGGCATACCTGAATTATAGGAAAATGGAGGATCCGTTAAGATCAGCTTTCATAGAACGCTCATGAGAGTAATGTCAAATATTGACCCGCGCCCCGTAGGGCTATCGGCGGACCCTACCGCCGATAGTAGGGGGGGGGGGGGTGGGGGCGTTTCGCCCCCCCCCCCCAAGATCTCGGAAGTTTACCAGCCGATGTTCAAAATTCAAACGGCGCTCGATAGCCCCACCGGGGAACTACCTTGTGACCAAATTTCATTGACCTAGTTCAAACCGATGACGTCACAGGTCAGGTCAAAGGTCGGATTTTCACCGTTCACAGGCATTTCAAGAAATGTGTTGTGAAATCGAGTAAATTGGTAAGTTATTGAAAACCATCGATGGTACATTGTTCGTCAAACACATACTTTGCTATCTGAGGTCACAGATACCAAGTCAGGTTACAGAGATCAGGTCACTGGTGGTCACAATATGAAAGTGTCGTGTGATACATGTTTTATGGTCCATTTTACATGACAAATGCGATTATGTGGGTCAAGCAGTCTTTGGGGCCAGTTAATGTTATGTTTTGGTGGAGGTCAGGTCAAGGTCAGGTCAAATTAGGTCAAATTTCAAAGTTGATACTTTTTAGTCTATTTTGGCAGTGATTGACGCATTTTGGTCGACGTCATAGCGCTACAAGGTCTTTGTCTTCTGTGGCTTCAGCTAGTCCCGATACGAGGCTTTGACCTGACCAGTGACCTCTAAGGTCACCGATGGGCCAAAGGCCATTGTATACCGTCGGCTTCCTCTCGTAACGGCCGATGCGCTCGTTTTTTTTTTCGCGAAGCTCTAGCTCTATCAGGGGGCCAACGCGAAGGGATTCGTACCCCCCTCCCCCCCGTGCCGCCGAGGATGGGAAAAAGACCGGTGCCGGCGAGTGTTAATATTTCCAACCCACCCACTCCTTTTTTCCTCACATTGCACCATTACTCAACGTAACACAACAAAATTTTTACGAGGTACCCCCCCCCCCCCGAATAAACTGCCGATAAGATCCGCGTCTCGGCAACACCAAATTTGGCAAATATGTAAGGGCAACACTGGTCAACTTACCGCTGTCTCGCCTACAGTTTTGTCCTGTACCAGGTTTGGTATCTGCCGGATAATGCAGTAGGCGATGTCGCTGTACCTCTTAGGATACCTAAAAGGAATGGAATGAAGATGTTGAAAACAAGGATAACAAGACAATCACTGAAAACTGCTTAGCCCTCTAACAGTGATGAAAGGGAAACGCTTGTTGAGCCCAAAGTAGGTTGCAGGGACGTGAGCTATTTCGGCTTCCCGCCCCAGGTCATAAGTCAGGCGTTTATATATATATATATATATATATATATATATATATATATATATATATATATATATATATATATATATATATATATATATATATATATATATATATATATGCATCCACCCATCCATCCATCCATCCATCCATACATACATACATACATACATACATACATACATCACGCATTGATACATAGGTGGCCTGGGGGTAAAGTTAGAAGGGCGGGGGTCAAACACCGTCAGCAGAGTGTGGTAATCGGCAATTGCCGGAGCTACGTATATGACCAGGAAAGGCCATGGTTGCTGAGCTTGACTACAAACCTGGCAATCTCATCTCAAAACCAACGTGAAGGAGGGGGGGGGGGGGGGCGGGGGCGGGCGCACTTTTAAGCAAATTCAAGTTGGAGGAAGCCTACTCACGGGTTAGAGTACTTCTCGACATATTTCTCGTAGATGACGTTTCCAATCTCGATCCAGTCATCCCTCTTCAGTTTTGTCCCACACTGAAGAGTAGTCCTCAGTTTGGGCGACATGTCGTCCAGTGACACTTTCAGCAGTCTGTAAGCAAAATGATCAGTATAATGTTACCATTTTGCATTTTGGGAACCCTTGTGACCTTGTTATTGGTAATAAGTTCTTACCACTTGGCTCATTCAGTGGTACCTAAATGTTTCCTAAAAATGAAGTCTGGACAGCGTGGCTTTGAGCCGTCCCGCTCCCTTTCACGCACTTCAGAATTGAAAGTAGTAAAGAACGACCAACTTTACGAAGTTTGATCGGGTTATTTAGCATTTTCGACGTTTGGTGTCACATTAGAAATCTGAATCATTACTTTAAATGACACACCGTGAAAAGTGGATGCTGTTTAGCATCGTTTAAAATTACGGAGCCATTTGAACAAGAATCTACGGGATCTTGCCGGTCCCGTGGCTCAGTTTGTAGAGCGTTGGACTCCGCGTGGTGAGAGCACGCGTTCCCGGTTATAACAGTCCGGGTTCGAAGCGCGACGAGCGCTTGACATTTATGGGCCTCCTGACAGGTATGGTTGCGGTTGGCGGGCGGCAGGCCGTAGCCAGGCGAAGTCAGTGAGGGGACCGGCGGTGCGCGGCTATGTGCGCACGTTAAACTTTGGATTCTAAATTCTGCCATAGAACTGGCATTGCGCGATCGGAGGGTAGAGGGCAGTGTCATCGCAACAAGCTTCGCTTAGCGGTGGCTCTGTCCTTGCGGATCCTTCCTATCAAAAGGTTCGGACTAAATTTAAAAAAAAAAAACTAAACAACTTTACATCTAGCAATCGCGACTACTCTCTTTAAAGAGAATTTTTTCAACTTCGGGCTGACATGGATGGAACTTTCCCTTTCTTTTCAACAAGCGTTTTTTTTTTCTTTCAAAATTGCAGAGCACGCAGCTGGGCAGATATTAACCCGCGCCGTGTTGGGGAGGGGGGGGGGGGCGTTTTCCTCCCCCCAAAGGTTTTTTCGCGAATATCTAAAAACGGCGACGCGCAACAACTTACTATGCATCTTTTCCGCATAGGGTGTGGTCAAATTTTAAGATAGGGCTGAAATGGGCTATCGTTTGCCTTTTCCCGCGCCGCTCTAGTCTTTTGGTTCACGAGCTGCAGCTTCTGAAGTTGGAAAATCGGGAAAAATCGGTAACATTTTTTGGTGACCTCTGGTGACCTGACCTTTGACCTGACCTAAAAACTGACTTAAGTACCTACTTTCGTAATGTTTTTTGACGAACTTCCGAATGCCGCTTGCCACGTGTCGCTACGTAGCTCAAGAGCCGGGTTAGAGGGGGGACGTAAGACCTCCCCCCTCCCCCCAGCACTCGACGGAAAATCTAAACCATCAGCACGGCGCTGGTTAACTTAAGTATATTAACTATATTATAATCTAGCTTAAAGGCTCAGTTTTTTTTTTTTTGAACACCCGTCACCCTATACAGCTCAGTGAACTATATAAGCACATCATGAGAGTTTAAAAGATATCGGCCAAAAATTTTGTGTGGCAGGGATGCATGAAGGCAGTTGAAATTTGGCCCCAACATTTATCTTTTTCATTGACCTTAGTTCAGCCGGACATAACATTTTTAGGTCACATATACAAAGGAAAGGTTACCCCCCCCCCCCTCCAATAGGCTATGCCAAATTTGGCATAACACCGCCGTTTTTATGCAATCTACGAAAAACATCAGGTGTGGAGGGCGCATCAACCACCTTGACGGGAGGGAATTAAGTCACCAACATGTACTTACACACGCTCTGGTGCCGTCGGAGACGTTGGACTAAGTTGGACTGGCGTGGAGCTACCGGCATTCGGCGATATTCCAGAACCGGACATCGGGCTGCAAAACAAAAGCGCTTTGAATGGCAATTGCGCAATGCACCTATACGTTCTATCCAGTGGGAAGGAGGGTCAGGTATGATAAAATACCACACGGGACCGGTAAATGATTTTTTGAGGACAGAGGTCGTTGTTGATATTCCGCCCGAGGCCGAAGACCGAGGGTGGAAAATCAAACAACGACCAAGGTACTCAAGAAATCATTCCGACCTTGTTCCTTGCTTGTTCCGACCTAAGCAAGGACCTAAGTGTGGTATTTATGTTACCATATGGTGCACATAATTGCAAAATGAGCCTTTTCAAAACCGCGCTTCTCACCAGTTTCTTAGGATTTGACTTTGGTGATGACAATGAAGATTGTATTGAGTTTTGTAAAAAAAAAAGTAAGGACACGTCGAGAAAAAAGTGAACAATGCGTATAATATACGGACATATAATAAATATACTACCATATAACATGTAAATAAACATGATAATAAATATGCAAAAAGGATCGAAATCATGGCATATAGGTATTGATAATAATCGTTAAGAACAAAGCCGCAAAAATGAAATAATCTTTCCACTGACGAAACCCTGTTCCATTTTTGCGGCTTTGTTCTGAACATGTATGTGCCACGTTATTGATCGTTTTTGCATATGTATTATCCTGCATCATGGCAAAAAAAACATATGCTAATACATTAAAATACTATTTGAGAGAAGAATACCTGTCGAAGGTCCTGGTGTAGTCCGACATTCCAGCGAGGGCTGACTCAGGCATGGGCTCAGATGATGGCCCAGGCGTGGGCTCGGATGATGGCCCAGGCGTGGGCTCGGATGATGGCCCAGGCGTGGGCTCGGATGATGGCCCAGGCGTGGGCTCGGATGATGGCCCGGGCGTGGGCTCGGATGATGGCCCAGGCGTGGGCTCGGATGATGGCCCAGGCGTGGGCTCCGACGATGGCCCAGGCGCAAACGTGGCTGGTCCTGAAGCAAACACGGCCTGTTCTGGCAGCACAAGGACCGTGTCTCCTTGACGTAGTAGATGTGCGTGGGCCTCCGGCGTCACACGGAGGTGGACTTGCAGCCGACACTGGTCAGGAAGCTCTGCCACGTTATCCAGATCAACGTAGTCGTCGAATGCAGCCACGTAGTATCGCACCATCAAGTCCTCCACATCAACACCAAACGCCTCGCCAATAGCCTGTACCAAGTGTTTCTTTTCACGCACACGAACGAGTTTTTTTACCATGCCCTGGCTAACTAGGTACTCGTACATGGTTCGAAGAAAGTTTGTGCTTGAGCACTACCAACTCCTTTTCACAGATGCTATAACAGGCAAGCGGCAGATAATCAGCCAGACATTCGGGGCGCACACTTTCGAATTGGTCTTGCATCTCAAGTTCAACACACGACACATGAGACAAATCTGAGTTGCCACAGTACCGAACTACAAACTGTACGTCATCGTCCTTTGAACACACGCACAGGATTCGGCAGAACACAACAGTGTCATCACGCTTCACCAAGATCACATTGCCGGCTGTATACTCCGTATTCATGTGCGTCACGGATTTCCAAACCGGGTGACCATTTTGCGCGACAAGTGTTTGAACAGCTACAGGAAAACTCGCCTTGTTCTTTCGGCTGAACGACTTTCGTGACGATACGGCACTGGGTTGAGGCGCGTTATGCCGAACAGCAATGAACCGCTGGTGCCGAGAAGCTATCGTTTTACAAACATTACGATTATTTTTTGAGCGAGCCAGGAACGACTTCAAATTCTGATGCTTTCCTTCAAAACGCATTGTCCAGCAGCAACGCAAGGGGCCATGCTTTCTTATCTGACTCGCGTAATGCAGCAGATAATGAAACTTTGGGGTCAGCACAAAGTCTACGAATGTGCACGTCAGAAGTGTCAGCCACTCACTAACAAGCTTCTCAAACGCTACAAGGTCACTTTCAAACAACACAGGCGAAACAGCGTACTGAACTATAACTATAAGACCTCTGAGCACTTCGGATTCAGGGGCATCTAACAAGCCGCTGTTAGCTTCCGACAGCAGCAAGGGCAAAAAACGCAACAATGTCCACACTTCAGAAGCAGTACCCCCAACACACACGGTGCCACCACTTCTTTGCAGCGTCACAGGCTTGTTTCCCTCCAGCGGTGAAAACGCAAAAGTGGCAATTACTCCATTCAAGGCATTCAAATTAAGAAGTGATCGCTGCACTCCTGCAGTAAGGACCAAACTAATGCAACATTTCACGACACCCTCGAACAAGTCATGAACAATGTCGAATGGGAAGAAGTCAGCAGCGTGGAATTGCTTTAGCTCCCGGAAAGGGCATGGAAAGTTGATTCCAAATCGTTTGCAGTGAGCTTTGGAGAACTGGTTCTTTTCTAAAACACTAAGCTCGTAGGCATACAACTCCTGAGTGCGTGGCCGGAGCTGACTCACATCAAAGCATGACTTAAGTTCAACTGGGGATATGTAGCAGGCACGACAAAGTCTGTTCGTGTTACAAAACGATGCATAAAAGCCTGCAATGCTGTGAATGCCTAGGTTATCGCCGCAAATGAACTCAACGCGAACGCTCACAGGAACACGATTTCCTCGATTGACTAATATCGTTCCGCATTGTTCAAGAGTCACCAACTCATCTATCAATGGTTTTAGTATCACATCCCACGAATATTTCTCCAAATACTTTGTTTGAAAGAGCAGCAAAAGTAGTGTGTTATCTGCGTGAGCCCTGTTCTCGTTCAAGTTGGCAATACAGCAATAAACAGCGCCCAGCTTGTACTGCTTTGAATGACTTCCAATCGGGCAGGAAACAACAAATTCGTCAAAAAAGAGTATCAATGAAATCCGATTTTGTTCCCTCTGGTGGCAAGTTCCATCAAATATATCCCTGTAAACACCCAAGTTTGACCTGGATTCCGATTCAAGGAGATTGTGCTCCTGGAAACGTTTGCTGGCGAACAAGCTTTGCAGCTGTGATGTTAGCGATATATACTGAAAAGACAGCGACTTCCCAGCATCAGACTTCCCAAGTAATACTTCACAGGGGCTCACACATAGAAGATTACGTGAAGCGTATTTGCCACATGCAGCGGAAGAGCGGACTTCATCGAGAGCCTTGAGCGACGGTAGGTTTGATAGGTCGGGATTGTCCCCTTTGGCGATGCTACTGACACATTCGCTAGCAACTTTGTACGAATATTTTTTCAAATAATCCGCCAACGAATCGCAGTGCTTATCACTGAGACCGGACGATTTCAGTTTTAGCAGAAAATTTGCCGGATGTTCGAGCCCCTGATTGCCAGTACAAGTATCGTCTTTTTGGGCAGCAGTATCAGCGCAACTAGCATGAATATCAGGACAATTGTCTCGCTCGATGACGGCGCCCACTTCTGTGTCAACAGTCTGAGTCGATACACTTCCACGTGATGTGCTTGGACATACGAAACTATGCTGAGAGGACACAACGATGCCACCACGAACATGCACTTCGATCACATGCCTCTTCCATTTTTTAACATGCGAGAACACTTTCGCGCAGTACAAACATTTTACAGAAAACCCAGTACAGTTCTCATGCTCTCTACTGATATGTTTGGCGGTTAGGTGTATGTTTTCACAGCTAATGCGGCATACTGGACAGATCTGCTTGAAGTCCACCTGAAAAGATGAAAGCACCAGCTAGTAATTTGGACATAAATGCACCTGCAAAGGTTTAGCACGGGTGTTTATTAGTTCGGGCATATTTGGCTGTTTGCAGAGCTGCCATCTTGTAATTTCCATAAAGCTTTCTATCCCCCCCCCCAACTCGGCCCTTGGGCCACGTAGCGACACGCGGTAAGCGACATTAAAAAAAAAAAAACGTCAAAAACCATGACGAAAATACTTCAGTGATTTTTTAGGTCAGGTCAAAAGTCAGGTCACCAGAGGTCATCAAAGGTCAAATTTTGCTATTTCAACATTTTTCGAAACTGCCAAGGGACAACTCGGGAACCAATAGAGCTACAGCGCTGCTGAAAAAGCGCATTCGATATCTCTTTACAGGCCTTTCTGAATAATGTTCTCAGATTTGACCTCAGGTCAACAGTTTAGCCTCCAGGTGGCAAATACTCCCAAAATAGCCGCTTTATAGGAAAATATTTTTATCCAATAACTTTTGACTCAAGAGAGACACGACATTACTTTGCCAGCATCGTGTTCCTCTCGTCGAGACGCGTCAAATGTACTATAATTTGACCTTCAAAGGTCAATTTTGAAAGTTGACCCCAGGTCAAGGTCATGACCTGACCGCAAAGGTCAGGTTTCATATCATATCGTCGAGCCAAACACATCTAAGGCGTTTTCATCGCTCTAGCTTGCCTCTATCAGGAGTGATGAGCGAAAAAAACTGTTAGATACCATTCGTGACCTGAGATGAACTCGGGGACATAACGATCGGGGTCACGGGTGCCATTCTCCGGTTTATCGTGTCATGTTTACTCATAATTAAGTGTTTGAAAATGTTAATAATGGTGTTCGTCTAAAAGAGGCGCTTTTCAATTTTCTCCCATTGACTTATAATAGAGGTCTAAAAAATGACCTGACCTTAGGTCATCGATATCGAAATTTCGTGATATACGTTTTGTACACGTTGTTTCATTTATCAATCGCTGAAAGTTTCAAAGCGATCGGTCACTCGGTATAGCTATGACAGGCATTGAAACTTTTTAGGTGAGGTCATTTGAAGTGACCTGGTACCCTGACCTAGGGTGAACTTGGGCTAAAATTTTTACAGCATGTGCGAAAAGATGTATGATAAGGTGTGCCAAAAAACAGCTTAAAAAACCTGCAGGGGTGGGGGTGGGGTGTTCAAACACCCTCCCCCCAGCAGGGCGCGGGTTAACCCGCGCCCCACTGGGGGGGGGGCTATTCATAGCCCCCCCCCCTTCCGTTTTTCTGCAATAACTTCTAAACCGCTTGACGTATCGCCGCAAAACTTTCAGTACCTTCGGCTGAATCAATTTGACACCTTGTGTCATAATATGAACTTCGTATCTATCATAAAACGGCCGGAAATGACGTCAGAGTGACGTCATGTTCGGCCAATTTCGACGCAAAACATTGAACCACGGAAATCGCTCCCAGGAGCTCAGTTTTGAGCTAGATCCAATTTCTTTGCATGAGGGGACTCAGAATGGACTGCGCTATCAAACTGCTATCTCGAATTAAATTTTGAAAATTAGTTTTATTAAAATTCAAAATGTGTGTAATTATCTTTATTTCAAAATTTTTGACTCTTCGAAAAAACGGAATATATGTGATAGAACACATGCTTATGACTTACTCTAGCAATTTTCAGTCAGATACCTTCAAAATTGGCTAAGTTATACGCATTTTAGTAAAAGTTCACAATTTTAAATTTTTAAAATCATTTTTTATGTACCAATTTGACATCGTACACCAATAAAAGTAGCACCATCGTGTTCCTGAGCTCAAACTGCATCCGATAGATATGTTTTTTGTTGAAAAATTCAACTTTGAAATTTGACCTTTTTTGACCTGAAAGTGACCTGACCTCAGCTATATTCATATGAAAATGACCCCAAATGACACAGGCGACACCGAATTCGAAATCTATGGCCTAAATGGACCACAAAACATGTGTCACGTGACCGACTTATGACATAAGATTTCCGTGACCTATGATGACCTGACCCTGACCTGAAAAATCAAAATACAAGTTTCGTAACCTCAGGGTATCTAAAGCATCTGTTCACGAGTGTGTAAACCAAAAATCAGCCTGATCTGACTTGTAAGACGGCAGCCAGAGCCCAAAATGTGAACAAGCCAAATATCGATAAGTTTTACTTTGACCTGACCTGTGACGTCATCGGTGACCTCGAGGTCAATGAAATTAGGTTTCTTGCGGCAGTTTTTCCGGGGCTATCAGATGCTGTTTGAATTTTGACGATCGGCCCAGTAGTTTCGGAGTTAGGAGGGGGCTATGAATAGCCCCCCCCCCCCCCCCAGTGGGGCGTGTTATACACAGATCCCAGTGGGACACGGGTTAAAGAAATAGCCATTTAAAAGTTAAGTACTTAAAACTCAGCAAATACCAGGATCGCCAGTTTTTCCCACCACTATGGTAAAATTCGCACTCGAGCTCTCGAAGGCAGTGATGGCGCAGGCCAGCCAAACTATGTGTGTTTTTTTACCCATTGGGCGTTCAAATTTCAATTGCAATAAGTCTCAGCACTAAAACAAATTAAAATTATTTGAAGTATATGTACCAAACAAATTTAGGCATAAATTGCTGCAGCGCGGAGGTCTATTTACGTCCTTGGTAGGGGAAGCCGGGGGAAGCCCGGCATAGTAAGCTCTTTTTCATTTTTATTACATACCATACGTGCTGTATAAAATGTTGATATCCTGCTAGCTAGCTAAGTTCATTGGCCGTGTTTTCCCAAAAATTCGGTTTCGTGGAATAAGTATAAGGTTAAGAAAATCGAATTTTAAAAAAAGTGTTGATTTTTCTGGGGTAAGCCCGGCATAGGGGTAACGCCGGCCACCTCCCCAGCGCTTTACAACGAGTTGATGAACCATTATGTGTTTTCCAAATATTAACGGAAAGTGAAATATTAAGGTACTGATTAGCTATGGACATCTTAGAGTTTATGTCACTACTGGTATTTAAGCTAGCGTCTACTACATATACAGTACAGGTCGATGAAATCGTGATGCAAAATTGACAAAAAATGTGTATTTCAAAATTCCTGAAAATTTATTTTTTCTTTTTACCTTAATGCATCATATTGCATATCATTCGACTCGGCTGATGAAGAAGAACACAACGACACCATTTTTGAAGCTCTAGCTTCATGTCTGTCGCGTTATCTGCAAAAACGTAGTTTGATCCTAGTTGACCTTAAGTTACATGACTGGCTTTGTGTATGATAACATGTTTATTTTCGAAATTTATCTTTGACCTAGTGTAAACCAAACCTGCTCAGTACCTATTATCTCATGGAAAACAGTGGTTTAGTGGCATTGCTCTCGGTTGGGGGTAAGCTTGGCCGCTCGCCCGGGGTTACCCCAATGTGCTAATTTTTATCTTAGAACAGCGATATTCGAAAAAATGTCATACTTAAGCCAGCCTGCCTCGTCACCCCCACTACAACACTTAACGGTCCTTACATAACATTCGTATAAATATTAGCACTGTATGGTATGACATTAACAGTGCAACATATCTCACTTTTTAGCTAAAAACCCTTAAATATCATTTTGCGCTATAACTTTAACAATAGTAATTTTTTGTCAGCCTTAACATTTTTTGCTGGCGTTACCTTAGCTGCCACGCTGAAAGGACAAACAGTTGAGCATTTTATTGTGAATATTAGCCGGAAACGGGGTGGCCGGGCTTCCCCCGCGCCCGGCTTCCCCCGGCTTCCCCTATATTTACGTTGGAATTACGGATTAACTCTTATTTAGAGATATTCTAGCGAAAATTCAAATTATCATCATTCAGCCACGTAAAGTTGAAGCGGCG